ATTGCAAGTGCTGTTGGCAGATGCAGCCATTGCAATTACTGTGGTGAGTGAACTTGTTGAAAATTCCAGTATGAGTTTTTGTGCTTTGTTCACTCAGTCTTTGTATGTGTGCTGAGCAGACAGTTTAAAACAATAAAAACACATTGTAAATTATAACATATTTAACAATCTCTCTTTTGTTTTACAGGCATGCAATGGATGTGGAACTAGTAAATGTGACTGCAGTGGTGTAAAAGGACAAAAAGTAAGTGTTTATGAGTTTTTTATATACAGGGAATCCAATTTAAGCTGGTCATACATGGTTGAAATTTATCCAGTTCAGCAGGGACCTGCCAAATTTTGATTCATGTACAGGCAGGCTGGTTGTATTTATCAATTGGCTTGTGTACAACCGCCTGTCAGGTTTTTCTGAGTGGTCAGTGCCTTTGGCTATAGCTGGCAACATTGATTGTTAATTCTAATGGTGAGGAAAGGTCCCCACTATCAAACTACAATGCCAGAGCCGGAGTGATTCCACCATCCACATTGAATGTCAAGGCATTTTCTTTTTTCAATGGAAAAAAACATGCATAATGTATATGCATTTTTTAATTTATAAAACATGCTGTAAAACTTGATGCATATGTATGCTTCAAATGTCAATTTGGCATTAGTTTTATATAGGTTTAGGTTCACATCTAGCTGTTTTGTACATGCTGCCTTTGCCCATTTGAATGGGCTGCTGTACCTGCGGAAAACACAAAAAAAAAAGTCTCTTCATCTTTTCAAGACCACAGCACCCAAAAACACACTGCATTTTCAGCTAAAGAGCGGCACTTTTGCCTGCGGGTGCTGGAACCTGTGCAATTTACACCCATTTCTGCACATGCTAAGGTTTATAAAAATATAGGGTTATAAAGATATCATTGTAAGAAGTAACTTACTATATACAAGTGCATTATTAATTTTAAGAGGCTATGTAGCTTAAAATCTGGTATCACCCCTAATCCAGTGAATACAAGTGGCGCATACATTTCATAATGCTATCATTAAACATCAATTAACATTCATATATTGTGTCATTCTTTGTCTTCACCCTTATTGCTGTAGCCAAAAATACATAAATAAATAAAATTATAATAAAACAACTAAGTGAATATGACACAAAATTGTGACAGTCCATGTTTCCCGTGAAAAAAACATATACAGTTGCAAGAAAAAGTATGTGAACCCCTTGGGATTACGTGGAGTTTTTCATGAATTGGGCATAAAATGTGCTCTGAACGTCATCTAAGTCACAACAATAGAAGAACACAGTCTGCTGAACATAATACTACACAAGCATTAGATGTTGCCATGGTTTAATTGCACATAACATGTAAACATTCACAATGCAGGGAGGAAAAAGTATGTGAGGCCCTAGCTTAATGACTTCTCCCAGAGCTAATTGGAGCCAGGAGTGAGCCAACCTTGACTCCAAAAGTGTGATGATATTGGATGTGTTGCTGACAGCTGTCCTGCCCTTAAAAAAACACACACCTGTTTTGGGTTTACTGGTTTCAAGAAGCACTGTCTGATGTGAAAAGAAAAGATCTCAGAAGACCTACCATCAAGAATTGTTGACTTGCATGAAGCTGGAAAGGGTTACAAAAGTATCTCCAAAAGCCTTGATGTTCATGTGTCCACGGTAAGACAGAACAAATGGAGAAAGTTTAGCAACTCTCCCTAGGCATGGTCGTCCTGTAAAAATGACTGCAAGAGCACAGCGCAGAATGCTGCATGAGGTAAAGAAGAATCCCAGAGTGTCAGCTAAAGACCTACAGAAATCTCTGGCACATGCTAACATTTGACACATCTACAATAAGGAAAACATTAAACAAGAATGGAGTACATGGGAGGACACCACGGAAGAAGCCATTGCTGTCCAAAAAGAATATTGAAGCACGTTTGAAGTTTGCAAAAGAGCACCTGGATGTTCCACAGCACTACTGGCAAAATATATGAAACAGATGAAACCAAGATTGAGTTGTTTGGGAAGAACACACAACACTATGTGTGGAGAAAAAAAGGCACAGCACACAATATCAAAACCTCATCCCCACTGTGAAACATGGCGGAGGGAGCATCATGGTTTGGGGCTGCCCGGATTGTTGTCATTGATGGGAAAATGAATTCCAGAGTTTATCAAGACATTTTGCATGAAAACGTACGACCATCTGTCCACCAACTGAAGCTCCGCAGAGGATGGGTGATGCAACAGGACAATGACCCAAAGCATACAAGTAATTCAACAAAACAATGGCTGCAACAGCACAGAATATGCCTTCTGGAGTGGCCCAGTCAGAGTCCTGACCTCAACCCCATTGAAATGCTGTGGCATGACCTTAAGAGAGCGATTCACACCAGACATCCCAAGAATATTGCTACACTGAAACAGTTTTGTGAAGAGGAGTGGTCCAAAATGACTCCAGATCGTTGTGCAGGTCTGATCTGCAACTACAGGAAACGTTTGGTTGAGGTTATTGCTGCCAAAGGAGATCAACCAGTTATTAAGTCCAAAGGTTCACATACTTTTTCCTCCCTGCACTGTGAATGTTTACATGTTATGTGCAATTAAACCATGGCAACATCTAATGTTTGTGTAGTATTATGTTCAGCAGACTGTGTTCTTCTATTGTTGTGACTTAGATGACATTCAGAGCACATTTTATGCCCAATTCATGCAAAACTCCATGTAATCCCAAGGGGTTCACATACTTTTTCTTGCAACTGTATATGAAAAACTCAGAGTCCCGTGATAAAAAGAAATTAAAGTCCAGGTTGAAATGAATTCATAAAGAAAAAATTAAAGTCCAGTGTTGAAATGAATTCAAGTGACGAAAAAAATGTAAAAGTGTTTAAACTCTGTGATGAGCCCACCATGCACCCCCACTCAGGTGTACACTCACCAGATATTGCCTTTTTTAAAGCATAATCAAGAGAATATCCATTAATTAGACCAGGAGGTTCCTCCAAGAATCACCCTTCTAAGATTGGTTGCCAGGATAATAGAAAAACTCCACTCCAAACATTAAAAACATCAACAAGCCCAAATGATCAATCCTAGTGTCACGCAGATACCGCAATATAGTGACATTTGGATAACAATTTAAAGTGGTCACTTATAGAATACATAAAATCTGGTATGTCTAAGATCAGAAGGTTGACAAGCATGGGGTTTCTTGACATGCTGATTCCAGCCTGTATGTCTTGGTCCCACAAAAGAGGTACACCCTTCTAAATACCCTGGTAACTAATGTTAGAAAGGTAAGTAAGATGCAACCCCCTCTCCCTCAACAAAGAGACCCTTTGGACTGCTGAGGTTTGGGTTCACAGCTACCATGGGTTTGAGGTGAAATCTGCAAGTTTAAGATTTGTGATCCTGGTAAATGTATATACAGATTCGCCCAGGTGGGGGGCAAAGGGAATCCATAGTGTCAGTGTATTGGAATGCACTGTAGGGAAAGGATAGAGAAAATTGACAACCTGCACAGAAAGAGATTAGGGTCATTTAAGTAAAAAGACTATATTTTTAAAGTCTTGTCTTTTTGGTCGATATGATGTCAGCAGTTACTTTTAGATCCTGTTCCATCAGTGGCTACATTATATAGTACATGATACAGTATAGTATTTTCAAACACTGAGTTGTACTGTGACCTTCGGGAAAATTGGACATTGGCGAAGAAAACTGTAAGGGCTCCTAGTATAACTCTTCCTGCTCCAACATGCCTAGTTTTTTGCTAGTGTCCTTAGAAGAATGGACACTTCTCTCTGTTCAGGTTGCTGCAGAGCCAGTGAGGCTCATTTTTGCAGCTAACAGATGGTTAAGGACTCAGCAAACAAAGGACTGGAAGTCCTTACCAAGTCTTTTTCCTGGTCCTGGTCCTGCTTTGCTACCTCTCATTGCTGCCATGACCAATTACCAAACCCTGGGGGTTTGGGCTAAGGGTACTTCTAAGGCCCCCAAATCAATCTTAAGTGATGCTTCAGTTTTGCATCTATTGGAATTCTTGCTTGCTGCCCTACATTACAGCAATTTAAAGGCTTGTTGATGTTGTACATCTGATATCCTGAATGGGTCTCCTGTCTGCATATACAGTATGTGAATGACATTTTGGCTTAAAAGTTGGTCTGCTGAACGGCAGTGCAAAACAACGCTTACTGAATAAGCCTTTTGTGGATAAACATCTCCTTGGTGCTTTTCTGGACAGTTTTATTACAGATGTTTTGGTAGGAAAGAGTACCTTCCCATCCCAGCCAAGAAAGCTAGAACTTGGGCTAGAAATCCTCCTTTCTCTGGAACAGAGTTGCTTTCATGCTTCAAAAACCTCTAAGCCCATGTCCAGGCCTGGGACTTGACTTTTTCGCTACCTTGGGCACCAAAAACATTCAACCAGTGAGAAGGCTCTCTTTGCAATAAGTGTGCACCCCCACTTCCTTAAACTGGGGGGCATTTGTTTGGTTTTGCATCCACCTGGAACTAATGCATTTCAGACACAGAGGTGAGGGACAGGGGTCCAGAGGCTTCTTGTTAAATTTTTTAACTATACTTCTGACCTGCTTCATGCTGTCACATCCTTCCTTGATTCATCAACAGAAGGGGGCATGCACAACATTTTAAACCTAAAATCAATCAATGACTTGTATTATGTAAAAAGGTTCTGTACAGAAATGACCTAGTCAGTCCTTGCTTCACTTCTTTGGGAGGGAATCAGAGCTGGAACTGTATCTGGGCCTCATTAAGGAGATTGCCCTGTCTAGGATTTTCCTTCAGCTGGACTATTTCCAGTCTTTGTACTCACATTCAAGACTCTGCAATCCAGGAGCCTGATTCTGCAATCCAGGAGAGATCTTATTTTGGCTTAGGCAGAACATGTTCCAGCCCTGACCCCTGACCGCCGTGCACATCTTAGATGTGGGAAAAACTGGCAGGTAGACTTCCTCAGTTGACATTTTCTTTTCTCTGGATTATAGTCTTGACCAGGGGCGGACTGACCATTCGAGCACTCGGGCACTGCCCGAGGGCCCGGGGTCAGTAGGGGGCCCCATGAGATGCCCCTGGTACCTTTCATTGGCTTTTTCATAGGCTTTTTTGGGTGTGGGCGAGGACACAGGGCCCCCATGATCCCCTATTGCCCGGGGGCCCCATGAGTTGTCAGTCCGCCCCTGGTCTTGACACAGAGGTGCCTTTTTTATGTTTGGTGCTTGAAGCTCAGCTTCCACTTGTTACAGAGCTGTCCTTGGAGCTGCATTTTGTTCTCAGCCTTGGAAAACAAAAAAAAATAGTGTGCACCTAAACCACTTTCGCTTACATTCACCCAACCCACTATCCACATCAGCATGCTGTTGATTGAAAACAAAAAAAAATTAAGTGCAATAATAGTGTGCCCCATCCTGTGCTTTCTAAAATGTAAATGTGGGTCTACTTGAAAATCCTTTTCCTGTAGCTGGCCTTAAATTTTACTGTACTGGCCAATTGTCTTCTTCTGTCTGTCCTAATCCTTGTAATATAAAACCTGCCTGTTTTTTTTCTAGTACATTTGAGTCAATTCCCCCTCATTTAGAGCATTCTGCAGCTGGCTATGCTACACTGCTGTATCAACTGCACTCTCCTAACTCCTAATGAGGCTTTGATAAAAATTGGCCAGAAGCAGGACAGTTTTTCATCAGTGAGAATAGTAACATCCTCAGCTAACTACTGGCTGATACAAGTGGGCCTGTTCCTGTTTAATGAAATAGCATATTACACTCCTAAAGCTACCTTTAAAAAAGATTTTTTTTTCAAAATGAACTGAATTATTTTGTGGTGATCCAACTGTATGTAAGCCAAGCTAATTGTAAAAGAAAAAAAAAAAGCATAGTCAAAAATAATGCCAGTGTTCAATATTATTAAAACTGTCCATGAAAATCAAACTGTTCTGTAACATCACATGTAGCTTTGAGGCATCCCCAAGCATGTTATTTAAAATAATTTTCAGTGCTTTTTTTCTTTGCATTGGTACACCCCCTGAATAGCAGTGCCCATGGCTTTTTTGGGCAATAGATATCCTATCTACCCCTAAAAATTGCCACAATCCAATAACAGGATTTTCATTTTATAGACTTTAATGTGATTAATAGCAACAAAGTTTGGGTTCGCTGGATTTCAAATAGGATGCTCCAAACTGTTGGCAAATAGAACCTGGGCAGATCAGCCCATCTCTACTGCTCTTGCACAAAAATACAGTAGGCTGTAAAAAGACCGTTCTAAATAAACCCAAGCAGAGTAATTTGAAATACAAAATCTTTTATTACAAATCTTGCAAAAAAGTAAAAAAAAGTGGAACTTTTGAGATTCAGGTTCTGACTGTTTTTCATTATTATGGACATTTTCATGATGCTGATGGTCACTGTTTGCCCTTTATACATAGCTACTTATTGAATTATCCTTAACCTCCTCAATAGGGTTATATCTACTATTTTTAATTGGCTAGAGAACACCTGCTGTTATTGGTAGTTTATATCACACAACAATATTGACAGCCTGTTGATATTGTAATCCAGATTGCTGATCTTTATCTATTTGTGGTGTGTTTCTTCACCTTGCAAGGTTTCACTTTTTTGCAAGATTTGTAATAAAGGATTTTGTATTTCAAACTACTCTGCTTGTGTTTATTTAGAACCGTTCTTTTCACAGCCTTCTCTTATGGCTGTATTTTTGTGCAATAGTTTTGCTCAGTTATAACCCACATCTTTATTTATGTTGAGTCAGAGAGTTATTATATAGGAATGATCCACCTACTTTTGTGGCATTTTTCTGATTATTCCATCTCTACTGCTAACCTATTCACTACGAAACAGGAAAGAGTTAAGTTGAACAAACACAATTCCATTAAAATGCCTCATTTTAATACTGTACATTAAACAATGCTCTCCATGTTCTCCACTTTCAGTATTAAATCTGTAAGGGTTAAATATATGTAAAATAGGTTGTTCCCCATGATTTTGCTCTCTGGTGCTCAATATGAGACTATGCCATTATATTTCGATTTATGGGAATTTCCTTTGCACTCTTACTCTTTTACTGGAATAATTCAGTAGGAAGTATTTATCCTATGAGGGGACATTAATATGTTTTCCAGAGTAAATCCCTGAAGCATTTATGCAGGAAAAGGAGACCTAAAGCAGGATGCAGACCTAGAGCAGGATGAAGAAGATGTGAGGATAACCCTGAGATTAATCCTTGTTAAATCTATTAACTAGATACCATAACAGGGGGAGAAGGGAAGTCTTAGTAAAGTGTTTAAAAACAGTGGCTTTTTTAAAATCAATTATTTAGACATAATAGGGAATAGATTCTATTGAATAAAGGCAGTTGTTGATGTGTTACTTTATGATTTACTTGAATACATCTGTCTAATTTGAATGGTATTAAAAAATGTATTAAAGTCAGCCATTGATGGTTTGAATCTCGGCCGGTTCAAATAACAGCAGGTGTACAGGTTAGACCGATTCTACTGCACCCCTGGTTTGTTGCAGGAGCATTAATGCTGTAGCTGGATCCCCTAGACATCCACTGGACTCTAGGCTCAGGTCTAGGTTGCCCTATGGATGCAAATTTTGGAATTCAAGCAATAATGACTTATGAATGGTATAATTGTCTGCAGCATTAAAAAACATCTACATGCATAGACTCAGGAGGATTAAAGTGGTTGTAAAGGCTCAAGGTTTTTTTACCTTCATGCATTCTATGCATAAAGGTAAAAAAACCTTCTGTGTGCAGCATCCCCCCCCAGCCCCTCCTAATACTCCCCTAAGCCCCCTCCGGATCCAATGATGTGTAGTGGAGTCTCAGCTATCCTGGGACTCCCTTTTCATCGACTGAGACAGAAGCTGGAGCCCTTGGCTCCCACCGCTGTCAATCACAGCCTGTGAGCCAATGAGAAGAGAGAGGGGGGCAGGGAGCCGAGCCGCGGCTCCGTGCGTGAATGGATACACGAAGCAGCGGGTGCCCCCCTAGCAAGCTGCTTGCTGTGGGGGCACCCGAAAGGAGGAAGGGTCCAGGAGCGCTGGCGGAAGACTCGAGAAGTGGAGGATCCAGGCTGCTCTGTGCAAAATCACTGCACACAGCAGGTAAGTATAGACATGTTTGTTTTTTTTCTTTAAAAAAATAAGTCTTTAGAATCACTTTAATGATTCACAATTTGCAAATCTGTCAGTCTTCCCATGGGTTTCAAACAGATCTGATCAACATTAAAAAGGAATAGGTAAGAAGTCCCAAAGGGCTCTTTTTTTTTACCAATTCACAGGACAGGGGGTTGCAATTTTTAGGGCTAAGAGATAGCTCTGTTTATACATTTTCAGGGACCACACTCTAAGCTCCACCTTGATAATAAAAGGCATATGAGTTTCTATTAGCATAATAGGGGGTAGACATGTGCACTCCAAAAAATGTTTGTTTTGTTTCAGGTGCATTTCTTCATTGAAGAAATGTGTTTCGTCAAATTCAATATGTTGAACTGACTTGTTGCAGGATTTGTTTTGATATATTTGGCATTCGTTTTGCATATTTGTTGGACTGAGTGGATTTGAAATATGTGGCAGATTTTTCAGAAGATTGCTATATACAGTCAGGTCTATAAATATTGGGACATCGACACAATTCTAACATTTTTGGCTCTATACACCACCACAATGGATTTGAAATGAAACAAACAAGATGTGCTTTAACTGCAGACTGACAGCTTTAATTTCAGGGTATTTACATCCAAATCAGATGAACGGTGTAGTAATTACAACAGTTTGCATATGTGCCTCCCACTTGTTAAGGGACCAAAAGTAATGGGACAATTGGCTTCTCAGCTGTTCCATGGCCAGGTGTGTGTTATTCCCTCATTATCCCAAATACAATGAGCAGATAAAAGGTCCAGAGTTCATTTCAAGTGTGCTATTTGCATTTGGAATCTGTTGCTGTCAACTCTCAAGATGAGATCCAAAGAGCTGTCACTATAAGTGAAGCAAGCCATCATTAGGCTGAAAAAACAAAACAAACCCATCAGAGAGATAGCAAAAACATTAGGCTTGGCCAAAACAACTGTTTGGAACTTTCTTAAAAAGAAGGAACACACCGGTGAGCTCAGCAACACCAAAAGACCAGGAAGACCACGGAAAACAACTGTGGTGGATGACCGAAGAATTCTTTCCCTGGTGAAGAAAACACCCTTCACAACAGTTGGCCAGATCAAGAACACTCTCCAGGAGGTAGGTGTATGTGTGTAGGTGTAAGGGAAAGAAGTGGAATGTTATGCAATGGTCAAGTCAATCACCTGACCTGAATCCGATTGAGCATGCATTTCACTTGCTGAAGACAAAACTGAAGGGAAAATGCCCCAAGAACAAGCAGGAACTGAAGACAGTTGCAGTAGAGGCCTGGCAGATCATCACCAGGGATGAAACCCAGCGTCTGGTGATGTCTATGCGTTCCAGACTTCAGGCTGTAATTGACTGCAAAGGATTTGCAACCAAGTATTAAAAAGTGAAAGTTTGATTTATGATTATTATTCTGTCCCATTACTTTTGGTCCCTTAACAAGTGGGAGGCACATATGCAAAGTGTTGTAATTCCTACACCGTTCACCTGATTTGGATGCAAATACCCTCAAATTAAAGCTGACAGTCTGCAGTTAAAGCTCATCTTGTTCATTTCATTTCAAATCCATTGTGGTGGTGTATACAGCCAAAAATGTTAGAATTGTGTCAGTGTCCCAATATTTATGGACCTGACTGTATTTAGGGTGGATTCAATATTCACATATCAAAACTATTTAGAAGGATTAAATATTTCGGACTTTATAATAAATAATGCAAAAGTAGGCCACCCCGTTTTTTTTCAAACCCATGAATTGCATTTGAGTGTGGAACTGAACTGTCTGACTGTGACAATTACAAATTCAATTTAAATCACAAATTTACTCAAATCAGAATTATCGACTGAATTCAAAAATGTAATTAATTTCACCTTGGGCCCGAACTACCATCAAATTATATGTCGTCATCCCAATGAAAATAATGCATTAGTTCATTTCGTTATAACACTTTTCATTAATTAATTTAAATTCGTTACTATATCAATTTGGAGATAAATCGGTTTGTTACAAAATTAAATGCACATGTCTAATATGGGGTCACACACTTGTAGTACTCCTGTTAAAGAGATACCGGCCTTTTTTTGGTGAGCTAGGTTATAAACTCTTGAAAAGGGTACACATTTTTTCCTACTGGTTAAA